TTCGGCTCAGGTCATGATCTCATGGTCTGTGAGTTCAAACCCCGTATTGGGCTCTGTGCTGACAGTTCGAGCCTGGAAACTACTTCAGATTCTGTATCTTCCTCTTTCTTTCTGCCCTCCCCTGCTCGTGCCCTGTCTCTCTCTCTCTCAAAAATAAACACTAAAAAAAAATTCCTTCTTCAATGTTTTGTCTTAATAAAGGAAATAGAATACAAGTGCTTAAAAATTAATAAAACTCATGTATATGTATAATGTATAATTTATATGTATATGCATAATTTATAAATGACAAAACCTTGCTAATTTATACTTACCACTGGATTACATCCTGATTGGGAGAGCCTGAAGGATCAAGGCAGTCCACTAGAGGGCTCTCTTACTCAGACATCAAAACAATCACATGCAAAAATAAGGTTTTAAAACTTTAAATTATTGAATTATTAGAATACTCATAATGCTCCTGTTTAGAAATTTTGCCCACCAAAAGAAGTTTCTTACTTTTTTCTCAGTGCATGGTTAAAAAGTAAAATGATAACCAAATTGTGGTAATACTGAAGAAAAAAAGATCTAAAAAATGAAATCAATCTACATTCTTATTTACCACATCCAAAAATATTTGTCAATTTATTTTCATTACCATCTGTTAGTGTTTCTGGAGAAGAACTAGATGATGCTTGAAATGCTTTCAGAAATGGGTGGTCCATGGCTGTAACTGGAGAGTCTAAAAATTCCATTGAAGGTGCACCTGATAACAAAATGCATGAAGAATGAAAATTAAATCTCTCTGTTAAAATACAAAAAAGTTATTTCCATGCAAAATAAATTAGAACCTCAGCAGAATAATTAGAAAAATCCTTTCTATAAAAAAGAAATTTTTAGTTAAATTTTTATCTGCCATGTAAAGGGAACTAGGTAAAAGTATTTTTTTATTTCTCAGAGATCTTCTTCACAGAAAAAAAATTATGCATGAATAAAACCTTAATATAGTCACAAAAACACTATCAAAAGCAAGTCATTCATGGGGCCTGGGTGGCTTAGTCAGTTAAGCATCCAACTTCAGCTCAGGCCATGATCTTGGAATTCATGGGTTCGAGCCCCACATCAGGCTCTGTACTGACAGCTCAGAGCCTGGAGCCTGCTTCAGATTCTGTGTCTCCGTCTCTCTCTGCCCCTCCCCTGCTTATGTGCATGCTCTCTCAAAAATACATAAACATTTTTTTAAAAATTTAAAAAGCAAGACATTCGTGACAAAGAACCTCTAATTGAAGAGGGCAGAATAAGTGTGTTTTTACTCTGTTCCTCTCTAGGAAACCATCTCAAAACGAAGTATGAAAAATAAAGAAAAATTCAATTAAATAAAGATTCATCCACAAATTATGAATACCCATTGCTAACTACACTGACTTTTTTTTTTTTCAACATTTATTTATTTTTGCGACAGAGAGAGACAGAGCATGAACGGGGGAGGGGCAGAGAGAAAGGGAGACACAGAATCGGAAACAGGCTCCAGGCTCTGAGCCATCAGCCCAGAGCCTGACGCGGGGCTCGAACTCCCGGACCGCGAGATCGTGACCTGGCTGAAGTCGGACGCCCAACCGACTGCGCCACCCAGGCGCCCCACTACACTGACTTTTAAATCAAAAGTAAGGAAGCTGGGGGCACAGTCGGTTAAGTGTCCGACTCTTGATTTTGGCTCAGGTCATGATCTCACAGTCCGTTAAGATCAAACCCCGCATGGGGCTCTGAATTGACAGTACAGAGACTGCTTGGGATTCACTCTCTCTCCCTCTCTCTCTGCCCCTCCCCCTTTCATGCTCATTTGCATGCGCTCTCTCTCTCTCTCTCTCTCTCAAAATAAATAAACCTAAAAAACAATCTTAAAAAAATAAATAAATAAAACTGAGTACTTCCTTATAACCTAAACCTAAACAATTGCTCATTTTTTCAGATTCCTGTCTGTTCCTTCCCTAGCTCCTGTCTCATGTGGCTTGTAGGAATATAAGACAAGGGACTCAGGTCCACTCAGGTCCTTGTGCTGTCCTCTGGCTGCTGAATGCACTACTTATCTCAAATGCTCAAGGCTGGTAAGTGGTAATTTAGACCCACAGCTTGGTAGGTCCTAACGCGTGTTCTCACTAAAAGTCAGACTCCTCAATGCCTACAACTTCCTCTATTGAATCCCCCAGAGCTCAGGGGACCCACCTTTAGCTCTGCTCGGTGTCCCCTTGCTATGATAAATGTCAGAGCATGTCCACGGCCTAACAGCTCAACTGCCTGCCAACCACCCACTAGGAGTTGGAAATGATGGACTCCTTCTGCGTCATAAAGGAACCAAATTCCAGCAAGATACCATCTCTGTCCAGGACTCTACATAGCTAACAGAGCAGATGTCCCTCTGCCCCAGGCTCCCCTACATCTGATATCAAGACAAAAACAACTTATTTCCTCTCTTCACTCTCACCTTTCTTCACCCCACCTTCCCCAGGGGGCAAAAAAGGGAGAGATTTTCTTTCCTTACATTATAAAGATGCTTAAGTGATAAAATACCAGAAGTTACAAGAAGGCAAATATGCCAGCTCTTCCCACTATTCCCTAGCACTGTTCTGCAAGTACCAGCCATTGTAACTAGTCAAGAGTAAGAGCCAGAAATATTGGAAAAGGCAAAAATACCATTATTTACAACATCAACCAAACATTTATTTTAAACTCTTAAGAGTAAGTAATAATGACTGGTAAAAGAAGCAATCTTTTTTTTTTTTAATTTTAAGTAGGCTTCCACAACCAATGTGTGACTTGAACCCATAACCCCCAAGATCAAGAGTCACATGCCCTACTGAGTGAGCCAGCCAACATTTGCTTTTTTATAAACAAATAATAACCAGCTAGAAAATTTAAAGGAAGGAAAAAAAAAAACCCACGTATGATAGCTATTTAAAAAAAAAAAAAAAAGGAAATACCTATAAATAGAATTAAGAAAATTAAGACATAGAGGACTTTCATGAAGATAACTTCAGAATTCCACCCTACATAGAAAAAGACAAATGAAGATACTCAATATTTTAAAATATCAATTCTTCCTGGGGCACCTGGGTGGCTCAGTCAGTTGAACGGCTGACTCTTGATTCCAGCTCAGGTCATGATCCCAGGGTTGTTGAGCTCCATGCTGAGCGTGGTAGAGCCTGCTTAAGACTCACTCTCTCTCTCTCTCTTTCTCTCTCTCTCTCAATCAGGGCACCTGGGTGGTTCAGTTTGTTAAGCACCTGACTCTTGGTTTTGCCAGGTCATGATCTCATGGTTTGTGGGTTCAAGCCCCACATCAGGCTCTGTGCTGACAGTGCAGAGCCTGCTTGGGGTTCTCTCCCTCTCTCTCTGACTCTCCCCTGCTCGCTTTCCCTCTCTCAAAATAAATAAATAAACTTTAAAAATTCAGGGCGCCTGGGTGGCTCAGTCAGTTGAGCATCTGACTTCAGCTCAGGTCATGATATCGCGGTCTGTGAGTTCGAGCCCCGTGTCAGGCTCTGTGCTGACAGCTCAGAGCCTGGAGCCTGCTTCAGATACTGTGTCTCCCTCTCTCTCTGCCCCTCCCCTGCTCATGCTCTGTCTCTCTCTCTGTCAGAAATAAATAAACATTAAAAAAAATTAAAAAAAAAAAAGATTCTCTAACTCTGCCCTTCTCCCCTGCTTATGCTCTCCTAAAAAAATAACAATAAATATAAAAAAATAAAATATCAATTCTTCCTACATTAATGTATACATTCAATGTGTTATCAACTAAATAATAGAATATTTTGTAATAATAGAATGTTTTCAAAAAATAATGCCAAAGTTCTGAAAAAATTAGAGAATAAGAATAGTCAGGAAAATTCTTTTTTTTTTAATGTTTTTACTTATTTTTGAGAGAGAGAGAGAGAGATACAGCACGAGCAGGGGAGGGGCAAAGAGAGAAGGAGACAGAATTTGAAGCATGCTCCAGGTTCTGAGCTGTCAGCACAGAGCCCGACATGGGGCTCAAACTTGTGAACCACGAGATCATGACCTGAACCAAAGTCAGATGCTCAACCAACTGAGCCACCCAGATGCCACAAGAAAATTCTTAAGTAACAAAATGAAATCATAAATATTAATTTATTATAAAGTTATAGTATTGAAAACAGTATGGTTGTTGCACAGAAAGAGGCAACAATGAGGCACACTAACAAGCTCAGAACAATTTCTGAGTTAGTGCCAAACCTACCGCTTACTAGCTGAATAACAAAGAACGAGACATTGCACTTTTCTGTGCTGAGTTTCCTTATCTGCAAAATAAAAGTAATAATAGTACCTAACTCAAAGTTATAGGGAGGACTAAATGAGTTAATAGATGTAAAGAGGCTAGAAAGACTCCTGGCAGTACAAAGTTGCAATCATCAACAACATCATTATTTTTTCTGTCACTTATAACTGGATGTTCTGTAACTATTTCATGAGTTTAATACGATCATGCATCCAAGAAAACTGAAAAATGATTTACTTATGGAATTTAACAAGCTAGTTGTAAAATTACCTAGAAGAGAAAATGCAAAGATATATCAAGGAATCTTGAAACACACACACACACACACACACACATACTCACACAAACAGGAGGAATTTACCATACCAAACATCAAAACACTCTATGAGGAATAATAATTAAATGTATGTAATATTGGCACAAGATAGACAAATAGTCCAATGCCACAAAACAGTGAGTATGACAGAATGTGAGAAAGATAAACTTTCAAATAACTAGGGAAAGAACTGTGTTTGGATAACTTGCCACCAATTTGGACAAAACCTGAAGTTATACATAACTCACACTTTCCCAAAAAATATATTCCAAATACATGAAAAAACAAAAAAATTAAGTATTAAAGTAAAATGAAGGTGAACATAATTATAAAATTGCCTCCAAAATTTAAAAACTCTATTAAACAAACACAAACCAAGGGGCACCTGAGTGGCTCAGTCGGTTAAGTATCTGACTTCGGCTCAGGTCATGATCTCACGGTTCATGAGTTCAAGCCCTGCATCAGGCTCTGTGCTGACAGCTTGGAGCCTGGAGCTTGGAGCCTGCTTTGGATTCTGTGTCTCCCTCTCTCTCTCTGCCTCTCCCCTGCTTGTCTTCTCTCTCTTTCAAAAATAAATATGTAAACATTAAAAAAAAAAAAAAAAAAAAAGCCAAGACAACAAATGACAGATTGGAAGAAAATATCTGCAAAGTAAATGACAAAAGATCAGTAGACAGAATATAGAAGACTTCCAATAAATAAATGAGAAAAGTTAAAAGCATAAAAGTGAGCAAAGTATATGAACAGATAAGTATAGAAAGTAAAATGGCCAATAACTACGAGAAGACTCTTATCCCACTAATAACTAGGGAAATCAAACTGAAACAATAACATTTCACAGGTCAGACTGGAAAAAAATTGGGTTTAATGATATCAATGATCAGCATAAATGTGAGAAACAGGGAAGCTAAAAAATCATTAGAGGAAGCATAAACAAGTGAGGCATTGTTGGAAGGCAATTTGACAGCATGTATTAAATCTCACACACTTCAACCCAACAATTATTCTACTTCTCTGTATCTACCTTAGGCTCAAATTTATGTAGTATACAAGGAAGCAAGTTCAAGGATGTTTTTGGCAGGACTGTATGTAAAGGCAAAAAACAAAAAGGAAACCATCTAAATTTCATGAACAAGGTTTAGAAAAGCCCACAAAGCACCATGATCAAAGGGGGCCTGGCCAGTGGGCAGGGCTGAGAAGGCAAGATCAGCCCCATGCACTTGCATTTTACAAGGAAACGCTCCCAAGAACTGTAAATATGTACATTTGTCTGACTGTGCACCTTTAGTGCAGCATTGTTGATTTATTAAAAGCAAAAAGTCTCAGGGAAAAAAAAGAAAAAAAATCACAGAAATGGTTTAGAAAACCTGATAAATCTATAGTGTGAAATATTATGCAGCAGTTTAAAAGAATTAAATAGATTTGTGTGTCCTGATATGACAGGCCTTCAAATTTTTTCCAAGATAAAAATCTATAAAAATGTATGCTAAAAAGAAAAATAAATATCAATTGTTGACAGCAAATTACTCTCTGAAAAGAATCTCGGGTAAAGAGAAGTGTTTAAGGGGTCCTTGTAGTACTTCATTTTTCTTTTTTTTCAGTTTATTTATTTATTTGGGGTGGAAGGAGAGGTGCAGAGAGAGAGGGACAAAAAGAATCCCAAGCAGGCTCTGTGCTATTAGCATGGAGCCCTACAGGGAACTCAAACTCACAAACCATGAAATCATGACCTGAGCTGAAATCAAGAGTCCAGCGCTTAGCCAACTGAGCCACCAGTTGGCTTCATTTCTATTGTTTGAATCTTTATAACAAGAAAATGTTTGTTCATCTTTATATAATTTTTGTAATGAAAAAATGAGAGAAAAAAAAAAAGAATACAAAAAAGTCCCTACACAAAGTATTTAAAGTAGATAGGAACCTGGGCCCCTAGGTGGTTCAGTTGGTTAAGCCACCAACTCTGGATTTCAGCTCACGTCATGATCTCATGGTTGGTAAGTTCAAGCCCTGCATGGGGCTCCACACTGTGAGCATGGAACCTGCTCGGGATTCTCTCTTTCTCTCCACCCTTCCCTTTCCTTACTCCACTCGCGCTCTCGCATGTGCAGTTTCTCTGTCTCAAAATAAATAAACTTTAAGAAAATTAAAAAAAATAGGGGCACCTGGATGGATCAGTTAGGCAACCCACTCTGGGTCAGGTCTTTGGCTCAGGTCATGATCTCACAGTTCATGGGTTTGAGCCCCGCATCAGGCTCTACACTGATAGCTCGGGGCCTGGAGCCGGCTTGGGATTCTGTGTCTCCCTCTCTCTCTGCCCCTCTCCCGCTCATGCTCTGTCTCTCCTTCAAAAATAAATAAACATTAAAAATAAATAAATAAATAAATACACGGGAACCATATTCTCCCCAATCCTAGTCAACTCAGAAGGATCAAAAAAAGAAGAATCCAGCTACCTTCAATAGTTCAAGACACATCCAACAGAACTTTTCCCTATATTACTTAACTTTCATGTATGCAAGCAGTGTGTGCATACATTATCATGTGATAACATGTACACACGCGCATAGACATATGCACACATAGACATAAGGCTGTTTCCAAAATGAGATGGCTATAATGGCAAAAACATGCATACAACAGGATAACAGTTAGGTAAACTCTATCATATCAAATAAAAGAAATATTCAGCTATTACAAACAGGGTTGGGTTGGGATTTGGGTATTGGGGTAGGCGTGATCTTTTATTCTTGTGTTTTCTAAATTTTCTGTAATAACCATATATTTTATAGTGGGAATAAAACCTTTATAAAAAATAAAATGAGAGACTTTTTCTGGAAAAAAACAAAGAATATAAAGTATAAAACAAATATAGGGCTTCACTATTGTCAGCACACATAAAACTGTATGACAAACTCACATTCCATAGATTGTCACTTACCAATCCCACTGTCATCTAATCGCATGTAGCCTTCTGCCAGTGAGCTGAAGCCAGTCAAACCTCCCATTGCTGCATAAGGGACATCCTGTCCCACTGGTTTTCCCTGAGCAAGTCTTTCTTGCTTAGTTTCCACTACTGTGTCATGAGCATATGCAGGCTGACCACAAGCACAAGTGAAGCAACTATGGAATCCTGAACACTTGGAACCTGAATCAAGATGTAAAGGGAGTTAAATGTCTTTAAATACAGGTACTAAGCTGTGTGCCCTCAAAATGCTTAGCTTGGCCACAATCACCTGAATCCAGATCCCTCTATGCTGTCCTCTGGCCTCTGTAACTCTAATCTCCAGCCCTAGAATTCCCTCCCGGCCACTGCTCTTACTTCTGTAAGGTACTGACGTGAATAAGGCAAGGTAAGGCATGTAGCAGAAAAATAAAATAAAATAAAAGACTGGAAAAACCAGCTAGGACCAAAAGAAATTGGGCTAACACCAGAGAGCTAGGAAATGTCTGCCCAGTGGTAGGATCAGGTGAAGAGATAATGTGGAAACCTCCCTATGGATTAATGCCCCATAAAAGCCACATAGGAAAGCCAACCCACAGACATAAAAAGGACACAATGGAATACTGTTTAACAATAAAAAGGAAAGAAGTACTGATACATGCTACAAAATGGATGACTCACACAAACATCATGCTAAGTGAAAGAAGCCAGTTACAAAAGGCTACATATTCATTTATATGAAATGTCTACAATATGCAAGTCCATACAGACAGTAGGTAATTATTGGTTGCCTAGGGGTGGGGGAGAAGAAGGAATAAGAAATGACTACTAATGGATATGGAGTTTCTTTTGGGGGTGATGAAAATGTTCTAAAATTGACTGTGGTGATGGTCACACAACTCTATGAGTATATTAAAAACCATTAAACTATACTCTTGAAATGGATCAGTTATATAGTATTTGAATTATATCTTAATAAAATTGCTATATATTAAAAAAAAACCCCAAGCCATACTGAAATGGAAGCCAAAATACACCATTAACAAAATTTTACATGCTCACACTTCCAAAAAGTGTGTACATAATAAACAATAAATAAGTTTTATTTGACTACTTCCATAGCCAATGAAACATTTATTCCTGCCACTGTCATTAAAAATGTTTTATAACGTATTTCAATTCCAACTGCTATGAAAACTGGAATAACTCTCTCCTGAATAAATTACTGAACTAATGTCCTACCTATTTCAAGGGGTTTTTAAAAGGATGATCAAGTAAAAGGGCCTAAAGGATCGGGGCTGGGATTTGGGTACAGCTATTGAGGTAAGAGTGCTATCACAAATAAAGTGTTAAAATTATTATGTTACATTTTGCTTTTCCCATCAGCCTATGCTTTAGGCAATAACGTAATAATCTACCAGCAAAGCATAACATTTTCTTCAACTTATCAAATCCTTTTTAAAAGCCTGTAAATACAATTTAGTTGATAAAATCCCCACTCAAAAATTTAAATCACATCACATCTAGGTATTCTTTAAAATCTATCACTATCATTTAACTTATTTTAATTACATGAGGTTAAGGTTTAGGATTGCAAAGCATACAAATAACTCCAAGTTTTTCCACAAAAATAACATGTTAGAGTAGCTGTCCATCAAATTTTTCTGTGTTGTTTAATACTGACAACACAGCTAAATAAAACTGCCACAAAGACACATTAAATATTCAATAAAGAAGTACAAACATTCTGTTGGGTGTGTTTGTAATAACGTTAACTCACAGGCATTGCACATAAAGCCAGGCGCAGCCCTGTGCTGATCGGCAAAGTGCTTGCACCTGCAGCGAATGGGCTGCGCACCATTGAGAGGGACATAAAGGTAAGCCCTGCACTGGCAGCCAGTCACTCGGCAAGGGAGACTAATAGGGCGCTGCTGTGGAATCGTTTCAAAGTCAGTTTTATGTTGTTTATACCTAAAAAAATAAAAGGGAAGAAGTAAAAACAATACAAGTATTGCTGGAAATTAGAATTGGTCTATTCTGTTAAATGCACAACTATTCTTTTTTATTTTGTTTTTCTTGCTAGTAAGGTAAAAATCAACTCCCTTGCAGTATTTCTGTCAACTATGTCAGAAATTGGTCAGAAAAATCTTTCACTCGTTTATATTTTTATTTTTAGTTATTTAAGAACAATTTTCACAGCAATATACAAAGAAATAGAATCCCCTTAAAATACTTACCACTACAGATTCTTTAATATGGACAACCTAAGAGTGTGAAAAAGGTTCTTTATAAAAATTCTTTTTATCAAAGTGCATTACTTAAATTTATTTTCACAGGTGTGCTACTTAAAACTGATATGAGTTCAATAATGTAATTTATTTTAATATAATTTAATTTTTAACTTTTAATTTCAAAATAGTCAACATTTTTAAAAGCAAAAGCTCTTTGTTAATTAAAACACTGTAATTTTCTTAAATAGGCTAGTCACTTCCTGCTCTTAAGGTGACACTCAATAAAAAAATATTAAATTTATTATTCTCAATATTAAGCTAAGTAGTACAAGTTAAAATAGCAATGAGATATCATTTTTCACTTAGCAGAGAGAACCAACATTTTTTATACTATACATAATTCACAATGCTGTCAGGAGTGTTACAAAAGAAACAATCTCATTTACTGTTTCAAGAAACTTAAAAAGATCCATCATTTCCATAGTGTATATAATTTTAAATATAGCATTTCCTAATATATATAATTGTTGAATCACTGTTATACACCTGAAACTAACATATCAACTACACTTCAATAAAAATAAAAATAAAAATAAAATCATCAAATTTAATAGAAAAAAATCCTTTAACCTGACAGTTCATTTTTTAAAAATATACCCTAACAAAATAATTCTGTGTATAAAGAGTTTTGTGCATAGATAATATCAGCAATAGTACTTACAATAGCAACATACACACATAAATACATACACAACACATTAATAAAGGAATGAATAAGTAAACCACTAGACAACAGTTTTTAAAATTTTTAGCAGTGAAACCCCTTTTTCAAATAAAAACTTTTACAGAACCATAATATATAAAGTAGATAAAAGCAGAATTGGTTAAAGCAAGGGAAAGAGCCAGAACTAGAGTCTGTCCTTCCCCTAACCTCCCCTTCTACCTGGTACACCCCTGAGACTTCCTCCAAGACTCTGGGGAACATACAATGAACACCACTGGACTAGCTAGAATATTGAGCAGGTATTAAAAACCTTGTTTAAGTGGAGCCTGGCTGGCTTAGTCAGGTGAGCATCCAACTCTCAATTTCAGCTCAGATCATGATCCCAGGGTTGTGGGATTGAGCTCACTTGGGATTGATTCTCTTTCTTCCTCTGCCCCTCTCCCTGGCTCACACTCTCCCTCTCTCTCTAAAATTAAAAACAAAAAATTTTTTTCAAATTAAAAAAAATCTTGTTTGTGATTACTACATAACAATGGGGAAACATTTCTCTGAATCTGTCATTAAAAACTTAATATTTGTGAGCACACATAATTAACAACTAAATGAACTGTGAAGAAAAAATACATGAATATAGTAAAATTTATTGATAGCAGCTGGCTTTGGGTGATGAGTCTTCTTTCTACTTTTCTGGATATTCTTCATTTACCTTAATAATTATTATAGTATTTATAGGGGCGCCTGGTGGCTCAGTCAGTTAAGCATCTGACTTTTATTTCAGCTCTGGTCATAATATCATGGTTTGTGAGATCGAATCCTGCATGAGCCTCTGCACTGAAAATGCAGAGCCTGCTTGGGATTCTCGCTCTTCCTCTCTGCTCTCCCCCCCCACTTTATACTCTCTCTAAACTTTAAAAAAAATAATAATAAATAGGGATGCCTGAGTGGCTCAGTCAGTTAAGCATCTGACTTCAGCTCAGGTCATGATCTCATGGTTTGTGAGTTTGAGCCCCACGCAGGGCTCTGCACTGACAGTACAGAGACCTGCCTGGGTTTCTCCCTCTCTGCCCCTCCCCCACTCACTCACACACCCTCAATCAAAAATAATAAATAAACTTAAAATATAAAAATAAAAATCTTTTAAAAATAATAATTATTATAATATTTATAATAGGGAAAAATAATAGTTTAGACAGAAATCTCACTGAGTGCTTAACTGGTACTAAAGCACTTAATGATGAAAGTTGGGTTGGGTCAATTTTGAAGGTTAATTCCATGCTACGTAATTACACATATATGAGACTAGCAGTAAATTTATACAAAGATAAATGATAAAACCAACACAAATTTACCAAACTCCTCTTCAATTCTGAAAGATCTCAAACATAACCCTCATCCTCCATTCCTCCATGGTGTTTTTCATCGGGTTGCTAAATACGTTTCAAGTAGATCTATACACAACATTACTCATCCTAGCAACCGCTTAACAACCTTTGGCAGACAGCAAGTCTGTAAATAGCAACTCTACAAAGAGTCTCTCACGAGAGCGCCCCAGAAACTATCAGAACAGGGCAGCTCTCCTTCCACAGTTTCTTTGAACAGAAAGTTAAAAGTTGTTACCTGAAAACACATAATAGGTTCAGTGATTTTTTTTCATGATGCAGCTTTGTCCTTTTGAGTTTTACAACTGTGATCTGTGACAGTAGTAAAATTTAAAGTAGGACACAACAAACACAGCTAAATGCAAACCTCAGGTATTGGCAATACGCATCAATGACTGGAGCCTCCTGTATTTTCTTTCCTCCCTGTGCTTTACTTGGAAAAAGACCATTTGCAATAAAAAGCTGTGTGCTTGTATTTTTGTTTGTTTAAAGAAAGGTATCAACACAACATGTTTCTTAAAATACAAAGGGAGATTAGTAACTTTGAGGAGAAAAGCTTCTATTTGTAGGTTGTAACCTGTTCACTATGGGTCAACTCAAACAACTCTTAAGGCAGTTTTGCATTCTGATGACCTGTCCTCTGGTACCTCATCGAATAGTGGGTGAAGTAGACCCCTGGCAAAGCTGCAGGGGTACCAATCTTGTTTAACCAACTGCAAGAGAAAAGATACTTAGGGTGATGGACTCCATAATGAGTTCTAATAAGATATACTGGAAATTTTTTAATTGTACCAAAAAAAAAACTTTTGACAGTGTCTGGGTTATTATATAAAGCCTATTTTTAATGTTTCTCAATTATCACAAGTAATGTTCTTTATCAAAGGAAGTACACTCTTCTATAGTTTTATATTTTCTAATCTTACCTATGTGTACAAAAACACAGTGTCTCTGGACCCACAAGTTTACAATCCATTCCAGTTGGTGATCGCCAGCTCACAAATAATCTGTTTTGTAAGCGCATCGGTAATACTTTTTTTTTGTATTCTTCATATTCTTCAGGAGTAAAATGTTTCCCTCCATCGTCCTCACCAACAATTCTACAAGAACAAAAAAGTCTCTTAAGCCTTGAATATTTATTTTCCAGATTATAAATAGCAAACTCTAAAACTAAACTATACTTGTACAGTCAAAGGAAATGCGGCTTCAGCTTTGATTTTTTACTTTAGGCTTATGTTAATAGCAAAATTAGACACAATGGTAATAAAACGTTTGCTTCCCATGTAAAACAGGATTATAAATAAAGAAGACAATGAACTCCTAACATCTGACTTTACCGATCCAGGTTTATCACTGGAGAATTACCACAAATCCATCACAATTTTTCCTTTGATCCTGAAGCAAACATGCTCATTCTTTTCATTAAACGCTGGAGCCTAATCTCCTAAAAATTCTAATATTTTCCTCCTTTAAAAACAGTACTCCCCTCAAAAAAAAACAATAGTACAAAAAACATCAGTGCAGAAGACAACATGGGTAATGGAAACCCAAATCCTGGCTGGGAGTTTAAACCCACAAATACCCTTGGATCTGCACAAGCTCAAACCCACATCTGTATTGGGTAATCATTGTTGAATTCCAAAACTACAACTTCAAAATCTTATGGAAAAAATCAAGCCGCCACTATTTCAAACGGTAGTTACATAATAACCAAGGGATCTAGTTCAAATGCATATTCAGATTAATAGGTTTGGAATGGGCCTGAGAGTGTGCATTTCCAACAAGTTCCCAGGTGATGCCCATACCACTGGCCCATGACTGTTACACCTTGAGTAGCAAGGCTCTAACTTTTACAGCGAACTGTTCCAGGTTATTTATGTTTACAAAAATAATTTTCTTTTTTTTTTTCAACGCTTATTTATTTTTGGGACAGAGAGAGACAGAGCATGAACGAGGGAGGGGCAGAGAGAGAGGGAGACACAGAATCGGAAGCAGGCTCCAGGCTCTGAGCCATCAGCCCAGAGCCTGACGCGGGGCTCGAACTCCCGGACCGCGAGATCGTGACCTGGCTGAAGTCGGACGCTTAACCGACTGCGCCACCCAGGCTCCCCTACAAAAATAATTTTCCACCAGGCCTTAATATCTGAACCAGGCAAAAGACCATATATGAAGGCACACAATCCACACATCTAAACATCTAAATCTCTAATAAGTTATCAATCAACAGCAAGGCCCACAACTCCCTCACAGGGAAAAGCCCTGAAGACTTGGAGGCTAAAGGAGCCGGCTCTGCCCGCGGTGAGGGTTGGATGGAAGCTGTTCTGGGCACAGGACTCATGGCCTTACCTGGCCCCACCTGAACTGGAGATAAGGCCTGACCCATCGAGCTACTCATTCTTACTTGTCTGACTCAGAATTACCATTTCTACTTGTTATCAAAAACTATACCACCTAGACAGCCAGAAGGAGTGAAGATCAGCTAAGGAATCCGTTTCCCCCAACGCCCCTGGGTGATTTGGAGCGACCACCTTTAAGCAGGGCAGCCCCTCTCGCTCACGTTTCCCAAGCCGCTCAGATTTCCAGGCGGAGCGGGAAAGTGCCTCACGCCGCTTTACACACACAATTCTCCTCCCCGCAACCCCCCACCCCCGCCCCGGGGCCAATCCGCCCCCCCTTTCCACACCCCCACCACCCACCCCCGCCGCCGCTCTCAACCGCACATCCTCCAGCCTGTCCCTCTCCAGGAATTCCCACTCACCCAGTCTCCCAACTACCAAAAATGTTTCTTGGGAGACCGGAAAAAATAACACGTCTCCGCAGGTGCATCAGCTTTCCTCAGGGCCCAGGGCAGTGAGTCGTGTCCTCAAACCAAAGCGGTGGCTCTGTTTCCATTTACGTGATAGGAGTTTCTCCAGAACCACCGAAACTACACCAGTAGTGTCTTTCTCCTAAAAACAGCACCTCGGGGTTGGGAGCACGTTTGAAAGTTCACGACATACCCTATTAACTAAACTAACATGCAAACGATGTCTGTTATTCCTTATAACGCCAGAGCACTCAATGTGTAACTCTTCAGTGGCCATTTAGATAAAAACACTTGGACCTCGGCATAAATAGAAGAGTTAAAAATTCTTCCTGGAAGGGGTCAAATAGGGAGACCTCTTAAACACTTTTGGAAGAGACTTATTAGAATAGAACTGCATGTCATTACAATATTGAATTACAAAAAGACGAAACTTATATCAATGTAAGTAAGCCTCCCCAACAACCCGGGAACAGATTCCCGGAGCCCCAGCGGGCGGCGCCCCGCTTCTGTCCGCGCCACCAGCCCTCCTCCGGCGACGGGGACGCGGCCCGCCCGGGTTTTCCTCGCCCCGCCAAACCGCAGCCTCACCTTCGGTACTCCAAGTACTCGTCCACCACCGCCGCGCCGCCGGAAGGCAACGTCAGCCTCTCCATGGCCGGAGGAATCGAGAGACGCCCGGCCGCGCGCTCGCAGCCGGAGGAGCTAGGAAGCCGGCCTCTGAGGAGCCGGGCCGGCTCCGCCCCCACCGGCCGCGCCCCCTCCTGCCCGAGTCCTGATTGGCCGGACCGAAGACCGCAGCGAAGGCCCATGGGCGTGCGCTTCCACCTGGCGGCAGCTCCTGGCGCTGGAAACCTTCCGTCTCCAAGCGCAGCCCATCCAGCTTGGAATGCTGTTTACTGCAAGCACAAAACTGGTGCCTGGTGCCTCTCCCTAACCCCTGGTCTTGCAGGTCTCCTTGTAAGATAACAAGTGACAAGGGAGTGCAGTGCTTTGCATATAACGCATGCCCAGAACGTGGCTTATTTCTTCATACAGAGCTTCCCGCTGATTTTGAAAAGGTTCTGGGTCGTTGGCGGCCCAGCTCCCCAGATTCCCCCAGTCGTGTTTTCAAAATTGGCGTTTAAAAACCTATGATATAGGGAGGGGCCTGGGTAGCTCACTGGGTTAAGCATCAGACTCTTGATATTGGCTCAGGTCGTGAGTTCACAGTTTGGTTTGTGAGATGGGCCCCGGTCAGACTCTATGCTGAGAGTAAGGAGTCTGCTTAGGAGTCTCTCTCTCTCTCTCTCTCTCTCTCTCTCTCTCTCTCTCTCTCTCTCCCCCCCCCTCCCCCCAGCTTGCATGTGTGCTTGCTCTTTCTCTCTCAAAATAAATATTTAAAAATTTTTAAAGTAAATAAAAATAAAATTTAAAACTGTGATGTAGGGACACCTGGGTGGCTCCTTTAAGCATCTGATTCTTTTTTTTTATGTTATTTTTATTTATTTATTTATTTTTGAGAGAGAGAGCGAGTTTGGGGGGCGGCGGGGGAGGGCAGAGAGAGAGAGGAAGACATGGAATCCGAAGCAGGCTCCAGGCTGGGAGCTGTCAGCACAGAACTGTCAGCACAGAGACTGACTCAGAGTTCCAGCTCATGAATCCTGAGATCATGGGTCAGAGGCTTAACAGACTGAGCCACGCAGGCGCCCCTAAGTATCTGATTCTTGATCCCAGCTCAGGTCTTGATCTCAGGTTTCTGAGTTTAAGCACCATATTTGGCTCCCCGCTGAGCATGCAGCCTACTTAAAAAAAACAAAACAAAACACAAACACCCTGTGGTGTTAAATCAATAGTCCTGGGTGTCTGTGTCCAGTTTGGGTGTCACTAAACCACCGTGTTCTTCCAAGGTAGTGAAAGGTGGTTTAAGAGAAAACAAATAAAAACAATATAGTCAAGATTTTTTTACACCTTTGAAAATATTCTCCACAAAAAAATTTTTTAAGCTTCTGTTTTTAAGTAATCTCTACACCCAGTGTGGAGTTCAAACTCACAACCCAGAGAACAAGAGTCCTAAGCTCCACCAACTGAGCCAGCCAGGTGCTCCTGCACAAAGTCTTTTTTAAAGCTGAATTACAATGCAGAACATTTAGCAGCCCAGAAAAAGAATAGGAAATCAATCATTACTCAAGGAGTCCTTAAACTCTGAGGCTCCCTACAGATCACCTTTAGCGCCCTCTATAAATTATCTGGGAAGAATAATTGGCAAACAGAAAAATAATTGGCTGAACTGCAATACTTTATTTCAAAAGTACTTTCCTGACTCTTTCCCATCTTGCAAGTTGGCGGACGAAAAAGCTGAGAAGCCGATACTAAGGAGAAGACACCTGAAGCCAAGAAGGCTGATGCTGGTGGCAAGGTTAAGAAGGATAACCTCAAGGCTAAAGAAGAAGAAGCCCCACTGCAGCCGAAACCCTGTCCTAGTCAGAGGAATTGGCAGATATTCCCAATCAGCTATGTATTCTAGAAAGGCTATGTACAGGAGGAAGTATTCAGCAGCTAAATCCAGGACTGAAAAGAAAAAGGAGAAGGTACTTGCTACTGTCACAAAACCAGTTAGTGTGACAAGAAGGGTGGTACCCAAGTGTTAAACTTTACAAAATGTCTAGGTATTATCCTACTGAAGATGTGCCTCGAAAGCTGTTGAGCCACAGCAAAAAACCTTTCAGTCAACATGTGAGGAAACTGCTAGCTATCATCGCCCCTAGGACCATTTCCATCATCCTCACTGGGCGCCACAGAGGCAAGAGGGTGGTTTTCTTGAAGCAACTGAGCAGTGGCTTGGTACTTGTGACCAGACCTCTTTCCTCAGTCAAGTTCCTCTGCACAGAACACACCAGAAATTTGTCTTTGCCACCTCCACCAAAATTGATATCAATAGTGTGAAAATCCCCAAACAGCTCAAAGACGCTTACTTTAAGAAGCTGCGTAAACCTAGACACCAGCAGATGAGATCTTCAACAGGGAGAAAGAGAAATATGAGATTACACAGCAGTGCAAGGTTGATCAGAAAGCTGTGGACTCGCAAATTCCACCAAAAATCAAAGCTGTTCCTCAGCTACAGGGCTACCTCCCTCCACTCTGTGCTTTCTCTCACGAATGGAGTTTACCCTCACAAATTGGTGTTCTAAATTTCTTACAAAAACCTAATTAAATAACTGATCTATAAAAAAAAAAAAAAGTACTTTCCTGAACACTGTATTTCGGGTCCCAAAGACAAAATGTTATGTAGAAATATTGTTTAGATGCCCCTCCCTCTTTCCTTCTCGGTGCCCCTTTTCTCCTTTCCAAAGGCTGTCTGCCTGCTCAGGCAGGTCCCAGTCCCACTTTGACATCCTCACTACTTTTTGTTAATTACTCTCCACCTGAATCTTATCTCATAACTCGGCTTAGCCAATGAACTTCAGAGACTCCCAAATACATTAGAATTTTATAGAGACGGTTTAAGGTTAAAAACTTTTCAACAGCCAGATAGAAGAGTAATCCCAAAATGGGATTTTAGGAGAAAGAACGCTGCTCTCCAATCACACCTGGTGGGCTGCTTGCTGTTGGCCGTTTTATCTCTTTATGAGCACCAACCCCTGCTTTTAGGCAGCAGCTAAACTAGCAAATATAAATGGCAGAAAGTGCCAGGCTATGTGACCTTATAGAAAGTGGCAGGGGAGTGTCTATGTAGGCAGGTACAAGTTAATGAGTCCAGAAAGAAATAATTAAAATAGACCTAGTGCAATTGTAGACCCTTCTAGGAAGATGCTGGAGCAATAAACTCTGACCAAAAAAGTCAATAAAAATATAAGGCATGACAAATAAGACAATGGAACAAAATTGAAAATGTTATTCTAACCTTTTATGAAACTGACACCTTTGCTAATTAAAATACTATATATGGTTTTGACCTCTGCTTTAAAAAAAAAGTATCGTGGGACTATAATTTCCTCTAAAAGTTGTCTTAAGTGATCTAGGAAATAGATGGACAGATGGAAATGAAAAAGGGACACTTGCCTTGGTAAGTGTTAGATATTTTACATATACAGTCTTGTGTTTTTTTCTGCAAATAACAGAATAAATCAACTAACAGTGGCTTAATTAAACATAGGGTTTTCCTCATCTTTGTTGTTATTCTAAAATGTTGGGAAGTACCTGGATGGCTCAGTCAGTCAAGCTCTGAGACTTCGGCTCAGGTCATGATCTCACAGTTCATGAGTTCGAGTCCAGTCAGGCTCTGTGCTGACAGCTCAGAGCCTGGAACCTGCTTCAGATTCTCTGTCTCCCTCTCCTTTGCTCAGCCTCTGTTTCTCTCTCTCAAAAATAAATAAGCATTAAAAAAAATGTTTTAAAGAAATGTTGGTGTAGACAGTTGCTGGCATTGGTTCAGGGCATTTTCCCCATGGCTGCAAGATTTCTTGAAATGCTTTCCAAATTCAAGAAAGAAAGAAGGGAGACAACCAATGTCAGCTATTCCTCTTTATCAAGTAAGAAAGTTTTCCCAGAAGCCACTCCAAAACCTTTTCATTTACGTGTGATTGACCCAAACTATGTCATATGGCCACCCCTAGTTGCATAAAGGAGACTTGGAAAAGAAGCATAGTACTTACATTTCCCAGGCTTTGTGAGAGGTCAAAGAGAGGGTTAAAAACATGGACTTGCTTAGTCAGACCATAAGGTCTGCCACAGCTCACCCCTGAGTTGCTTAATACCCATGCACACCTTTCTTCGCATGCAGACATTTTACACTGCATGCGTTCATCAGACCCCTAAGGAAAGCAACCCCAGAGTTTCTATTGCATTCACCTGGAAGACTGGAATCTCGGCAGTCTGCTCTGCCATCTACTCTTCAACGTTTATTTATTTTTGGGACAGAGAGAGACAGAGCACGAACGGGGGAGGGGCAGAGAGAGAGGGAGACACAGAATCGGAAACAGGCTCCAGGCTCTGAGCCATCAGCCCAGAGCCCGAAGCGGGGCTCGAACTCACGGACCGCGAGATCGTGACCTGGCTGAAGTCGGACGCTCAACCGACTGCGCCACCCAGGCGCCCCTCTGCCATCTACTCTTAATGGTTTGGCAGTTGATAGCTAAAAGACAAGACAGTTGTTTACCCCCCTCACCTTCCCCAAATACCCAATATTACAGTCATGAGGGTAGAATAGGATAATTACAATAAAAAATTCTCATTAAGGGGGCACCTGGGTGGCTCAGACAGTTAAGCATACGACTGTGGCTCAAGTCATGATCTCATGGTTCATCCAGCTCTCCGCTCTCAGCACAAAGTCTGCTTGAGATCCTCTGTCTTCCTCTCTCTCTGCCTTTCCCTTGCTCTCTCTCTCTCTCTCTCTCTCTCTCTCAAAAATAAATAAAACATTTAAAAAGATTCTCATTCAGAAAAAGGGAGAATGGGAAATACACAGAAAACACTAGTCCATGGCAAATACCAAATTCTGCCAGGCAGGAATAATAATGACTCCAAGTTCCAACAGTGGAGAAAGTTCCTTGAATGACCCATCAGACCAGGCAGACTCTGATTTTGCTCTCTAGAAGGATGTCCCTTATTCATCCCCTCCCAATTCCTGGTATGCCTCCTTGGAAGATATTCTAAAGCCATCTATGGCAGCATCTGA